GTTTTGCACCGGCGTTCGTCTTCACCTTCAGCGCTTTCGCGTCCAGGCACCACGAGCCACTGCCAGTCAGCGACCCAGGGAGATCCTTCACGCTTGCGTCCGCGCACGCGTTGGACCTTGTCCCAGAGGCCAACTCATGAAGATACGTCGAAACAACAGGGCATACGTCCCTCTCTCTCGGACTCCCCCTCTGCTCAAAGATGCCTGCGGTGCACCTCCCGAGGTGGCGACGGTCAGAGGAGCAGCGGAGCGTCGCTGTGTCCTCGTCATCGCAGAACATGTGCGGGTACGTGGTGGCGAGGCCACCGATTTCATTGCACTTCTTGTCCAGGAAGCCGCAGCCGGAGTTGTTGCCCCAGCCCATCGGCTCCGCCATGCTCCAATTCACGCGGTAGTAGCCGAGGTCCGCAAACACCGCCAGCGTCAGTGCCGTGTAGTAGCCGGCGCCGACCGTGGGGGCCATCAGCTCGTCCCGGGCGTTGCGTTCCTCCCAGTGAGGCGCCTTCGCTTGCAGACCTGTATCGTCGTTCTCCAGCTCCATGCCCTTGAGAGACTCGCAGCTGAAGTGCGCTGCCGCCTTCGCTTTGACAGTGGCCCCCGCCACTATCCTTGCGGCTTCCTCCACGCACACTTGACACTGACTCCACCATGCTCTTAAGCTCCATCGCCTCGTGGCTGAACCCGAGGGCATGCGCCAGCTCGTGTGCGGCGACGCGGACGCTCCACGCCGTGTCGGTCATGTACGCCGGGCTGAACTCCATGGCGCCGACGGAAGGGCGAGAGTCACTCCACTTGACGCACGTGGCCGCCCACGCTGGAATGTTCTCGCTGAGTGGCCCGGCAGCGGCGTAGAGGACCATGTCGGCATCCGCCACAATCTTATTCCTGTGCCCAGTGGGAATTGTAAAGTGCTGGCAATGCCCTGCCAGATCGCGTGGCACAAATACTCCGTCCTTCGCGGGCTCCACAAGGAGTCGCTCCGCGTGCAGCTTGACGGCCTCGGGGATTATCTTCGTCGTGTACAACAGCTTCTTGGGCTCCGTCAGTACGTCACGGGCCTTGCAAGTGACCTGTTGCCCCAAGTAGTTGATGCACGTATTCCCCTCTGCTTTGCAGTACCTCTGCTTCCCCCTCCTCTGAGAACTCTCCTCCAGGTCCTTCATGGACACCACGATGCGGATGGGCGCCCAGCCCTCGTTGCTCTTTCCTCCTGCCGCCGTTGCGACGGTGTACGCCTGCGCCGCGCCCTGCCCCTTCCGCGGCACCTCACGCACCACCGCAGCCGGCGGCGAGTAACTCTTCGGCACCGTGCCGTCGAACACCCGGCGGTCCGCAGCGGCGCGGCATCCGCCGGCGCACTGCAGCACGAGCAGCAGCAGCAGCAGCAGCAGTGGGAGAAACGGCGCGGCGCGAAGTCGGCGGTGCATGGCGTGAGAAAAGCGTGTGTGTGCCTGAGTTTGGTGAAGAACGACTGCAGTGGTGGCGGCACAGCGCTTGACTGCGGGAGGGGGAATCGAGAGGGGGGAGAAAGGGCAAAAAAAAGAATCGGCGCATACACACTCACGCAGCCACTTCAGCAGGAGAGAGAGAGAGAGAGAGGA